ATTTTTTCTTGTTTTATTTTGAAAGGTCTTCACCTCCTGTCTTGCCTGTTTCTGTCTGCGTTGTGTCTTGTTTAAATCTGTCTGTGGTTCCCGGTCGTTAGTTTCCCTGGTGTGTCTAATTTACCCGATTGTGTTCACCTGGTGTCCCTGTGTTTTCTCCTCCCTCCTCACCTGTTTCTGTGATTAGTCTTGTGTGTATTTAAGTTCTGGTTTTTCTGTCTGTCTTTGTCGGTTCGTCTTTTGTCATGACTAGTTCGTCGGTGAGTGTTCTGTTTTGTCGTTATCACCTAGCCTTGAAATAAAGGAATTGTCACTTTATTCTGCATTTGGGTCCTACCTGCTTCACACACCGTGACACAATTATACATTATGGAAAAGGTCAGAGCTTAATTTAGCAGCATCATCAAGCTTCTGCTGTCAGCTCCACAAACTATAAGTGAAATATAAACTCAAGAGTAACTTCTCGCTCCGCTGGCGTCATCCAAAAATAGATTCAACATTTCCCTGCTCTGCTCAGACCTGGCTCCAATGAGACACCCTCTGCCTTGATGCTTTCACCAGTACACAGTTACACACACACACACACACACACACACACACACACACACACACACACACACACACACAACGACTCAGTGTAAGTGGGATGACAGCTTTGCTGCAGTGTTGCTGGCCAGAAGACAAGCTAGGGCGTCCAACTTCCTGGCTCATAGTTTCCTGGCTCCTGCAGCCAGTCTGTCCCTCAACACCCGCTCTGCTCGGCTGCCAAAGCCCTAAATGTTTAGCGGGCTTCCTGTTAAATAGCCTTGTCTCCGGGGAGAGCAGTGGACCTAGTTTAGCATGGAAAGATGCCTTGGCCTGTACAGAGAGAGAATGAGGGAACGAGAGAGGGGTAGCAAAGCGACACAAAGAAAGTCATTTTATGACCGGCTGAATCGGACTGAAATCCTGAGATATTTTAATTGTATTTCTCACGACCCAAGAGAATATCACAGAGTCATAGACACAACACATATTCATCTAATGTGCCAGTCTGTATCTTTCCTGAAAATAAATGTGTCATAAAACCGATGCAAACATTTGATTTATAATGTACCAACTAAAGCTACTTCCTCAGTTTACCTGACTGACTCATGAAGCACATCTGTGAAATTGGTAAGAGGCTCTATGTTAGCTCGAATAAGATAAATATATTTTGTTTTGATACCAAATCTGGGACATTGGGACTTGTTGCTAATTCCCAGTAGGACTTAAAGTGTATGTTTGAAGATCAATACTGCAGAGGAAAGGAGCTTCTTATAATGATTATGAGTTCATCAGCAGACTTCTAAAATAAGCTGAAATCCTTGCCGAGCAGCCTTTGAAGACGCAATTAGTTTGATGACTCATTGCAGTATTAGCCGAGGGTGTTGGAGAGTACCTGTTAGGTAAGTTTAAGGCTAGTCACCAGCCTGCTAAGAATAGGGGGGCTGAGCATCAGCAGGGTATTTATGTCTCACATGACAATTACATATCAAAATAAACGATTCAAAAGACAAATGTACTTAAAAAAAAAAAGTCTAGTCATTTGTAATCTTCATAAAGAAATGACCAATGATTTCCTGACACAGTGATTATGCTTCTATTCATGTTTTAAATTGACAATTTTGCATGATTGTATTAAAGGTAGTTTCACCGAGAGCAATGTCCCTTCTTGCAGAAACACCATCATTTTCTTTTGTGTACTATATACTTGACATATGTATATATATATATGAGCATTATATATTTCAGATGTTTTCACAACTGTCCAATCCTCTTCATTTTGAATAAGTGAAATAAAAGGTTAACTGTTAAGTTCAAAATACTTGGTGGTCTTTGATCCACTGATTGGTTTAGTGTTTTCTCATATTTTAAACAGAATGTACCCTGTACAGTATACTGTTTTCACAACATTCAAAACGGACATTTTAAGTTGCAGCACTGTTCAAACTTTGTTGTATTTATAAATAGCTGACTAAGGAAGTGCTGAGGCTTACATAGAAACTCATTTTGGTAAACACTCTCAACCAATTGTCTGCACTGCATGTCTGCCTGCTGTACGAGCAGACATCCCATCGAAGGCCTGGCATCATTCAGCGTGGCTGTACTCAGAGATGGAAGTAGGAGTAGTATGCTGTGTATTTCAACCATCTGTGACTGGCCTGAAATTCCCTTTAATAATGTTGTCTGCACTGCACGAGGAGAACATGAATATGCTGCGAGTTGGTCTTTGAAAAGGAAGAGAAGTGCTTAAGATGTTATTTGCAGAGTAAGAAGTGGATTTATTTTTCATGTACAAAATTAGAAACCTCTTGAATATTGCATCTCTCTTGGAGGAATAATACATTATGAATGTTGACGCTGTGCTTGTGAGGTAAATATTTCATAATCTATTTTGTAATAACCAGTATAGGATTGAAACTAGTTTTCAAAAGTCTGATACAGCAAAGAAAATAAGAAACTAAAATACACGTCACAGCCTGTTTGATGTAAATATGTGCTTTCAGCCGTGGGATTTGTCTCACTGAGTAAATGGGAATCTCATTTTCCAAAATGTCCTTTTAAAAAACTTTTTACCAGGGAATGCTTCAGTCTATGTTAATATATTTCAAAATGCCTGCAGGAACCATGGAGGAATGTGTGGTCTCTTATGGTGAAGGGACTGCTGGGCGTGTATTTTAAAGCTTTTATGCCATTTAAACTAAGTGCTCTTTGGGGACTGAGAGATCAGAGTTTAAATAAATATTGTGCCGACCCAAACAGGTTTTTACAGGTGGTCAATTATCTGTTTTTAAATAGCCGAGCAGCAGGGAGCGGTGCAGTGGCTACATTTATTTATGATGAATCTACAAGCATGGCCTACTTCCAGGTGACTGCTCAGGTCCTAGTCAGGCTCACCTCCTCTCTTTCACTCTATGTCATTCACTTTCTTTCATATTACTCACTCTCTTGCTCCATTTGTCTTTGTATTTGTCAATCAATGTTAATAGTTACGGGAGGCATTGATTTTGTGATTAAGTGTCTCAAATTGTACTGCCAAGAAATACAATAAACATACTGGCTGACACAGACTGTTTAGCACATTTGTATTATTAATATCTTCTGAGGATACGCGGTGTAGTTTATGTATCTGTGTGATACTGAGCTGTTTAAAAATGAAACACGAGTTTTAACATTTTAAAATGTTTCCCATCCTTTTTATATATATATTTTTAAACACTGAATAACACCGCAACGCAGATACAGGCGTACATATTTTCACCATTTATTATTATGTATTGCATTGGATTTACATTTTTCAAATGTATACAATGTGGGACAGAGACTAGGGGTTGTTATTAATTTAGGCGACATGCAGACAGGGCAGCTCGAAAGGAAATACAGGAGTTGCAGTGCTTGTTCATTTAACTGATGTCCAATATTTGCAGAAGTGCCACTGAGCAAGAACAACTAACTCCTACCAATTCATGCGCCAATATAACGCAATGACTGCCTCAGTGGCTCCGCCTCTTTACACGTCAGTTAATACAAGGCTGAACAGACTGACAATCATTCAAGGAGAAAAGCTGTGGCATTTTGTCCTCAGAGGTACAACACAGCTGGTGAAGGAATGCCACAAAAAAAATCTCAGGGCAAGGTTATTTAAAAGTGTACAGATGGAAGTAAAAGGAAAATAAAAAAGCAGCATGTAAGCAGAGTGTTGTTATGACAACAGTGTTTGCTAGGAACAACACTCCCGGAGAAAACAGCAGACTTTGTGTGTTTTATATTTGATCTAACAATATTTGTTTTTCATACAAGCCCTGATTTGGCCCCGCAGCTGGGGCAGGTGGTGTGTGCTCGTGACTACGGATTATACTTTCACTTTTCTAGCAGTCTTGTTATTGATTAATCACAAACCTATGTAGAAATCTAATGCATGGCATCCTGTAAATCAAGATCATCTGGTCACTTCTGTCTCATAAACTCAAACTGTGACTAAGATGGATGTTCACGCAGAACCAGAAAAGATCAATCTTAGTCACATATCTTGAACATGTAAATAGGAAATTCATATACATCTTCATCAAGTATATTCGGTTCACAATGTGACTCCACTTATTCTATTGCTCTCTGTGTGAGGATCTGTCCAAGGTGCTGACAAATTAAATGTGGTCATCTTTATATACAAACAGAGGGAGGCGCTGTTGCTCATCTTTTAAAAAAAGGTCCCATTTCACAACCATTTAAAGCCCTCTACCTGGGGTTCGAAGATTTGTGTTAAGATAATTTAATATTTACAAAGTCTTAGTCTCGAAATAAAACTTTAAACATGTTGCAATACAAGGCTAAACTAGGAAGAATACACTGTATTTATTCAGTGGAAACACAAATACTGTCCTGTATTTACATAATGCAAAATAAATGTCATGCAAATGAATTCAAGCTATAGGTCAAATTGCAGCATTGTGAGCGTTTAGTTATTAGAATAATGGCAGAATAATGGATGCAGCAGTTCCACAACTATGGACTGGAATTGCTGTGACAGAATAAAACTGATGTTTTAAACGGGTGCATTTAACCTTTGACTGGTGCATGAAGTTGGGGGTAATATTATACACATTCATATAACAAATGTGACATATGCTGTATATGAATATTGGGCTTTTCTGAGAATAGGACAATAGGACAGATTTTAGTTTAATGGTTCCTGAAGCATTCGTTTTTCCCACCCAGATGTCAGGATTCGCCCAATACGCTTTAAGTAGCCTAGTGTGTGTGTTTGTACGTGCACGTTTGTGTGTGTGTGTGTGTGTGTGTGTGTGTGTGTGTGTGTGTGTGTGTGTGTGTGTGTGTGTGTGTGTGTGTGTGTGTGTGTGTGTGTGTGTGTGTGTGTGTGTGTGTGTGTGTGTGTGTGTGTGTGTGTGTGTAAGAAGGGAGAGCAGCCGTGAAGACACCACCCAGCTCTGTAGGGGAGGGGAGTGAGGAAGGCAGTGAGGGTGAGTAGGAGAGGGGGGGTTGGATGCTCGTTTCAGCACCGAGGACAGCTCCCGGTAAAAGCAGCGAGCAGCAGCGGGTCGGTGCTCTCCCTTGCACCGTAAAAGGAGGAACAATCTAGATTTTTTTGTTACACCTCTAAGAAATAAGACTTCTGAAGGGGTGACTTCGGATCGGGCGACATATTTCCAGTGACAGGCTACAGACAAAACGATAACAGGACTCCCGAGGGTTGAAGGCAATCTCTGCGAAGTTTCTCGCCACTGAAAGGCATCCTGCTTCCTCCCACAGCCCGGAAAAAACTGCCGGTGTTCAGGGGAAGTTGAGGAGAAAGTGACACCACGAACTACTGTTTGGACTATATCCTAAAATAAGTTGTTGGACTTTTTCTCGCGTTTTCCCTGTTCTATTTTGCTTTTTTTCTGGTTGTGTGTGTGCAAAAGGATTGTTGGAAATTACTATCAAAAAGGCAAGCTTCTTACAGCTCGCTCCGGCCCCCCACCCCGTGTAATTGTCTAACATTAGCCACTGGTTTGAGGCTTTGATGTGCCCAGATACATTTCTCCTCTCTCGCTGCACTGAATCCTCCCTCCTCCAAGCCACCCATCTCAGCCTTTTCATTTAACATTCACAGAGGAACGCCCCGGACTGCAATCTTCCCCCCATTTTCGAAAACTGCTAAAGACTGGTAGGTGATCAAGGCCATGGATCGATGAAAAATGCTTATTCGGTTTGTAGTGGGATGAAGTTGGAGGGTCTGCATAAACGCAGAATAACCGAGGACATCGTTTGGCAACTTTTAAAATCTCGACCAGTCGCTTCTTTGCTGTAGAAATAGGTGTAGCCTGCTCTGTTCATGACGGAAACGATGGCGCTGAGTGTAAACTGTAGGACTAACCCCAAAGAGCCCGCTTCAGTTCAGAACAGTTTCCCAGATGTTGTTGAATTAAACGTAGGGGGGCAGGTTTATTACACACGTCACTCAACTTTGGTGGGCACCCCGAATTCTTTACTTGGTAAGCTTTTCTCCTCCAAAAAAGATGCAAGTAACGACTTGGCGAGAGATCCTAAAGGCCGGTATTTCATCGACAGAGACGGGTTTTTATTCCGCTATGTGTTGGACTACCTCCGTGATAAGCAAGTCGTCCTCCCGGACCATTTCCCGGAGAAAGGGAGGCTCAGGAAAGAAGCGGAGTACTTCCAGCTGCCCGATTTAGTGAAGCTCCTGACCCCTGAAGATATAAAGCAAAGCCTGGACGACTTCTGCCACAGTGACAATGAAGACGGGTCCCAGGGCAGCGACCACCGGCAGTGCCCGTCGCCCTCTCTGGTCCCCGCGGACAGAAAGAGCGGTTTCATCACGGTGGGTTACCGGGGGTCGTGCACCATGGGCCGGGAGAGTCAAACTGACGCCAAGTTCCGGAGGGTGCCTCGGATACTGATATGCGGAAGGGTGGCCCTCGCCAAAGAAGTTTTCGGGGAGACCCTGAACGAGAGCCGGGACCCGGACAGGACCCCGGAACGGTACACCTCCCGGTTTTACCTCAAGTTCAAGCACCTCGAGAGGTCTTTTGACATGCTGTCGGAGTGTGGTTTCCAAATGGTGGCCTGCAACTCGTCAGTCACAGCCTCGTTTGTCAACCAGCACACAGAGGACAAGATCTGGTCCAGCTACACAGAATACGTCTTCTACCGTAAGTGACATCTTTGATTTTATAACAGCAGGCCAACTCTCACATGGACGTTGGACTGACCGCTAGGAGGCGCACTTGTTTTGCTTGTCCTTTGTTGGAGAGACATGTGGTTTTTGGGGAGGATGGGCGGTCCTAGCCAAGGACAACCCCTTTTCTGGATGATGTGGGTGTACTGAACATTGTGATGAGAGCAGCCTTCACCTGTTTCCATGACCTATATTACTTAATTTAGGCAGTTGGAGGGGGCCAAAATAAAAAAAGAGTCAAACTTACACGCTTCGTCATTGTCTGAAGTTTTGTCTGGCCCTTATGGAAAAAGACAGTAAGGGCTCTTGCTATTGGAGTTAAGTCAAGGTGTTTTTATTTCTCACTGGAAGCAATACAACCATCAGTAGCAAACCCATAACTGACAGGCTACTTCCCGTGCAGTGAACTTAAACCTATTGCATTATGTTGCAGCATTCGGTACGCTCTTGCAGGCTATTTTACATTTCACAAGATTTAACCAGATTTTCACCCCCATCTGAGCTACCGCAACCTTCGAGGCAATGATTTGTCAATGCATGCCAATTTTCATCAAGGTGCAATTTTCTACTACACCTCCGCTTTCATCCGTCCCATCCTTTCAACTACTTGAATTTCCTTCTGGCTTTTCTATTTCTTCCATTTCTCCATCTTACCTTAGCTGGTAGAAGCCTCGCAATGGTGACTTTTAAATGAGCTCCCAATAAGATTTTATGATGCAACTAAAACATTTATATTCTGTGATCTGACCATATGTTATCTATCAGGAACTCTATGATAGCCACCATAAAGAAGATTGAGAATGGAACTGTAAGGATGTTATCAGATGAACTTTTCCTTGCATAAATACTGAATGTAGTGGTCATTTGGAGATGTCATACATATTGTGAAAAAACAACAAAAAATAAATACACAACTGTTTACTTTCAAGAAATATTTGTATCCCTCAACTTTAAATCAAGTCTTGTTACATACAGTCAATGATATACATTGCAGTATTGCAGCAAACGCTGAATATTGCTGCAAATAATATTGGAGAGGCGGCCAGCACTGATATCAATGTGTCAAGGTAGCGACCATGATATTTGCTAATAGCATAAAGCAAAGGTTTCTTGCCCAGTGGTTTTAAGAAATATGGTTAATTGCCTTTAAGAAAAGATAACATTTTGAAAAATGACACCTAACGCTTATCAGGTGAGGGCTTCATTTAAATTCTGTAGTCATTGTAACTAACCTTGTTATCCTAAACCCTTTTATTCAAACTCAAATCTTATCAGATAACTTCGTAACTTTTGGAAGTTGATGTGGTGAACAATGCTTCATATTTATAGGAAAACAATTTCAGATCAATGAAAGGGACATCTTACCCAGCCAGTTCTTTTACTTACTGGCTTTTTATTTCAGTACCTGCATCCAGATGTTTTGCAACAGTGACAGGACGATATGCCAACATCTTTTAAAGAACAGTTTGTAGTTTGTCTTGATCAGTTGTGTTTTATCACATCAGTCAAATGTGTCTCTGAAATATGTTTTATATATTAATCATCCTTGTAAGGCTGGGGATTGGTTCGAAGACCGCTGGTTGGAAATCACTGAACCATACGTTCACCACCACTTAGGGAACACCACTACCAGCCACATAAATCACACAAGTCAAATGGTCATAGAGCTAAAAGGAGTTTAAAAAAAATTGATGACAGGGATTTGCTGGTCAAGCTCCAGGGGAAAAGAGCTTTGCTTTAATGGCTTGAATGAAGCGGCTACAATGACTGGAAAGCTTTTGGCTTTTATAACCCCAGATTTAGTGCTAACTAGCCAAAGCCAGTGGAGGTAGGGGCTACTGACACACGCACGCACGCACACACACACGCACGCACGCACGCACACACACACACGCACGCACGCACGCACGCATGCACGCACGCCTTCCTCAATATATGGCAGTGTGTCTGCCTTCTTACTTACTGTCAAACAACAATGTTCAGCTTGTTAGAGGGCACGCACTCAAAGGCAAGGGCACAGTGGCAGATGTGTTGGGCCTATATCTCAATACACCAGTCGCACAAAAGCCTACGCATACTCACGCATATGTGAGCGCTCGCACTCAAACTCACTAGAAACAATCACACTCACACACACTCAGAGGCACACATCTACACAGAATGAGTATGCTTACACACACACACACACACACACACACACACACACACACACACACACACACACACACACACACACACACACACACACACACACACACACACACACACACACACACACACACACACACACACACACACACACACACACACACACACACACACACACAATCGTGCAGGGAGTTAGTTACTAAATGCAGCAGCCACCCAGTGGATTATATGAAGTCACTGCCAGTCTTTTGTTTATCTGCCTGTCACATTTTTTGGCGATGTTGCTTTTCTCTTCTCCCCATCCACCCTCTTACTCGTTGTCTTTTCTCTTCCTCTTCTCCTTTCATGTCTTCTTAGTTTGCTCTAGTCAATCATACCCAGCTTTCCCTCGTCTCCCTTCTCACCCTCCCCCCTCCCAGCTTTATTTTGCTTCATGCGCCGCAGGGGCAAGGAGCAGCACGGCGGCACCAGTTGCCTTTACATGCCTCACTGCTCCGTCACGCCTCCTGTCTCCATTCTTAGTCATATCTCAGCCTGTCTGCCTGTCCATCTCCATGATTGTTTATTTGACTTCATTTAGGCTGTCTCTTTTTACATTTTAGCCATTTTGTCTGCAATGTGTCTCTCCTTATTATACATGCAAAGAGTTTGACTTATTTTATGATTTTTCATTGAATGTCCTAAGCTCTTGGCTAGACAACATCGATGCTATAGGGAAGGGGTTTCCGGTTCAAACTTGACAATGCCCTACTCACAAAAAATGGTTCTTAGATCAATTATTTTTCCATCTTGCCCTGACTGGACCTCGTCGGTTGCGACCCAGGCCTTACATCAGAAGTCAATCTCAATAATTTGGTTTTGGCTGAAAGGAATTACACATTTGCTATGCTCCCCAACCCTGCTATGTTAAAGTAGCCTTTTGGAGTTAGCTTTGCTGTGTGTAGAGATCAACTGAGCAGACTCGGTTGAGTCATATATCGAGGTCAATGTTAAAGAGAAAGCTACATTTTGGAGCAGTCTTAAGCATTCATGAAACTTCTTTGTTTCAGGGATCGTATTATTCTATATTTGAGACATATCCATTTTTTTCACGTGGCCTCTTTAATGAAACCATATATATTTAGGGTAAAGTGTTTCAGGGCCCATCAACAGTGATGCACTTTCCGTTTCCAATTTCACCAACTTCCAATAACAGGTTTCATGTTGTTCTGCCTTAAGCCTGAACTCTTTAAATCCTCTGTTTGTTTGTTATCTATTGCACTCGTCTGATTGGACCTATCAATCTCTTTTTCTGTTTGTGGCTATTCAAATTCCTCTGCAACCCCAGAAGGCAAATGTATTTACCAATTTGTTGCATGGCTGGAGTGACTGATAATTAATCATCACTGTTGACAGTTAGTTGTGATATTCACCGCAGGGCTTGACTGAGCCAACAGAACCATCTAACAGGACATCGTCATAGTGAAAACAAATGGGAAGCCTTTTGAAAGTTTGCTAAGGGGATGGAAATTGCATTTTTTGGCTCTGGATGTACTTCCCCAGGCTTTTTTTTCTACCTCAGCTGAACATGCCAGAGTGAAGTGTGTGTCATTGCAAATAGCCATTGTCATATGAGCATGTGACACACTGTGCCATTTGCTTGTTCCACACAGTTGGACAGCTCCTTGTGTCGCAAATGTGTTTTGGCAGGTGGGAAAAAGGGGGCCATGGTAATGGTGTTTGTGTGTGAATGTGTGTTAATGCATGACCCATGCTGCACTACTAGAGGCACATTTGCAAACCCGTTGAGCCGCTGGAAAAACCCACCTGCACACCAACCAACCCCACACACACCATCTTGCACACACACTCATCCCCATATATCATCACGCTCATCCTGCGAGCGTCTCTGGGCCCAGTCGGTGACTGCATTAACAGCGGCGGTCCCATGCTGCAGGCCTGTAGGAAGTGATTAGCCGAGGAGCAGACAGGCCATGACAGCTCTAAGGAGAGCCTTGATAGGGACAGCTGCTACCCCGGCCCCACAGGGAAGACCACCACCACACACCTCAACTCGGCATTATTCAGCCTGAGACAAAGAGGAAGCAGAGAGGAGCAGGTGGAGACCACTGCTGATGGATGAAAGAAGAGTAAAATGCTGTTTTTCTGTTACTATGACTACTGTTGAGGCTAACAAATGGTGTTACGATCATACCAGGACTGTAACTACTATAGTGGTGGATCAAGTTGATTCATGTAATTATTGAGATTCTTATATTAATCAAAACATGTTTCACATTTCTAAAATAATATAGTAATCCTACACACCAAGTCAAAGTTGTGTCAAACACTATTGTGTGACAACAAACTTTACTTTTCACATTTAATATCTAGAAATACGAACAAAATCTACTAAAATGTTTAAGAAAAAGTAAGTTATTATTTATGTAGAATGAATAAATGTTTGCATTTTTGTAATAACATTATTTCAATCAGTTGCCATATCACTTTTTAAAATATGAACTCACTAAACGTATTCAATCTTTCCTCAAATAATTTGCCTCAAGACCTTCCTGAAGGAATACAACCCAACATGTGGACCCATTCTTTAATAAGAAATACATTTGTCAGCCAAAAATGTGGGATTTAATCAAATTGTAAGATTTTGAACTTCCCTACTACTACAGCCAGCTGCTCTTTGTTAATCCATGGCCAGATATTTGGCCTTTTATGTGTGTGACGAGCCGGCAAGCAACCTGGGTAATGGTTTGCAGATAGTTTGGTATGCAGTCTGTGTGGTTGTCGACGTGAACTTGCCTTTTGTTCCTAGTAAGAATCAAAGCTTCT